GGGTGGGGGCTTTGGAACAAATCGAATGAAAATGGATGAATTGCATGGCCCATTTAGTCTCTCTTATTACTCTATATTATTGTCATATACTACCTCTCTTCCGCAACCTGTCTCATTTTTTGATACTTCCTAAAAATATATTTTCCTGTTTTTTATTTTTTTTGCCATACTGTCATACATTTTGATTATAGATTATGAAAAAAATATATTTAATTATAATATAAATATAATATAATTAGATTTATCTTCTTGATATACCAATTTTTCACCCTTTGCTTCTAAAAAAATTTTCAGTTGGTCAAATAGTAATACTTTCTAATCACAAATTGTGAGAAAAAATATATTTTATTATAATATAATTTTTGATGTATCAAATTTTTATAGCATTTATTCATTTGGATTATGTTTAATTTATGAACAAATAGTGTCACTATTTGACTAAAAAAAGTCTAAACAAAAAATATTTTTTGGAACGAAAAGAGTACGGAGTATAATTTATTTATAAGAAATTACCCTAGATATGAGTAAAATATAGAAAAGTATTAAAATATGAATTTCATGTTTTATTTTCTAAATGAAATCCACACTGTGCTAATCTGGCACTCTATATGAACATTTTACTATACTTTTTGATAATGTACGTGGTCATGATTGATAATGTAAATGCATATTAACTCCTATTTCAAGAATAAAACTATAAAACTCCTATTTTGGTATAATTTCAATGTTTTACGTCTACTTTAACCTTTTTTCATATATTTATTTAGATAATGTCTAATTTATGGTCAAAAATCGTCACTGCCTGATTTAAAAAATTCAAAATATAAAAGGCTTTTAGAATTGGAAAGAGTAATAATTAATAAAAGTTACATGCTATATTAACTAAGTAAAAAACATTATAAAAATATTTTACAAGAAAAATATAATAAAATTATGATTGTATTAATATTTGATATTACATGTAGGCCGTGTTTGGAAAACAGCATTTGAGATAGCTTTTGGCATCTTTGACTGACTTTGGCTTTTTTGACCAAGCAAACCGCCAAAACCATTGTTTGGCTAATGGCTTTTTCACTTGGCATTTTGATCCAAAAAGCCAAAATCTGAAATGCCAAGGTGAGTAGCATTTGGACATGGCAGTTAGGAAAAATATTTTTTTTTAAATCATTTTTGTTGAAAGATATTTTATAATATATGTAAAAAATAAAAATAAAAGTTAAAAAAATTAAATACGAAAAAATAAAATGAAATTAAAAAAAATTATATTTATAATTCATTAAAAAATTTATATTTATAATTTATTATGAATTAAATGAAATTAAAATTTAATATTCCATATAGTAAAGATTTAATTTTTATGTAAAAAAATGAAAAATAAATATCATGTCTACACACACACACACACATACAGACACACACACACACACACACATATATATAAATTTTTATTTAATTTTTTTAACTTAAAAAAATATATTTATGATATGATATTTAAAAAAAATTGTAAAATAAAATATACCATAAATGGAGGGATGTCCTTTTATGTAATTTTATTTACAAACAGCTAACTATAAACAGTTAAAGTTGCCAAACACTTAAAATTTAACTGCTAACAGAAACAGCCGGTCAAAACAGCTAACTCAATCAGTCATTCAAATCAGCTAACATAAACAGCCAACAGCCAACTGCTAGTATCCAAACAAGGCCGTACTTTATTTAATTAGGATTTAAAGTTTTTCAAAGTAAACTGGGCAAATACATAGTTAAAAAAAGATTAAATAATGCTGATTTCACACATAGGAGAGAAAATGAATATGAATCATATTGTTTTCTTTTAAAAGAGAATGTGAAGATTAATCAAAGACATCCAAAAAATGGAAGTTAATGTTAAAAAAATACTCCCTATTATACCTACTAGTATCACACCCGTGCGTTGCACGGGTCATTTTTATGTTATTAAATTCAGATCATTCTTCAATGATAAAAAATGGGATGCAATAGAATATAGAGATTATATTATTTTAAGGTACAAAAGTAACTTAATTTTTTTCTAGCATGTAAAGAAATATGTCTTGCATTGCTCATGTTTTTTAGTTCATGAATGGAGACTACTTTGACTTTCAAGTTGCTAGTTCTTTTATCATCTTTTTATCTTGATTGTGTTGACACGATACTACAACTCTAGGTCAAATTATAACCACTTGACATTAACCTGCATGATTAGAATTGTTATATATTTAAACAACACGTTGATTATATTCTTAGAAACGACAAATCTGCAAAAATACATCTAGACTTACTTTTCTCTTAAAGCTTTAACTTCATCACACTCATCGTTGAGTAAAACCTTGCTCACAGAGTAAAATGTTGTAACATACACTTGCTCCAAATGATTAAAAAAATAATATACAATTAGAATTAATTCATTGGGTACATGTCTTTCAAAATTAATTTGAATTAATTTATGAGTATATCATTGTACAACTTAGGTTTCACCATTTGCAACACCAAAATTGGAAGGTTCGAATCTATTGCACTCAATCCATCAATGAAAACATTGACATGATTTTCCCATAACGTACAATTCCACCGAACGCCCCTACACAAAAAAAGGTTAAAATTATTTTTAAATTTAATATTTATCGAAATTAAATAAATAATAAATATTTTTGTATTATATACTTTAAAAATATATTTCATAATGTCTAGTTATGTAAAGTATACATTATAATCAGTATATTTTTCCTTATTTACAAAATGCGTCTAATGATTTAAAACATGAAATTTTTTTCTTTCTACAATAATGGAGGCAATTAATAACACTCCTTTATTAGGAATTACTTAATAAAATAATTCCTTATGAAATTGAATTATTTAGTAATTAATATATATCCGGTCATAATATTTTTTTTTTATTAAAATGAATTTAGTTTTTAAAAAGTCACATACATGTGGTCCTCCAAGGTAACTTCTATCATTTGTTCTGGGGCATTATTAACCATACGGGTTTCGGGCGTGGTTCGACTAACTACCTTCCTGATTATATCTGAAAATCTAGAAAAATACAATTTTTAAATTTCATAATCATAATATATGAAATGTATTTCATATGTGTAAGTATTTAAGTTACATAAATGTAAATGACTATTACCAACAAAAAAGACTTGGTCAGCAAACTTTGTTTTGAGTACATCTTCAAAACTCTTAAAGTTGAATCGAAAATAAGGAAATCCATTTTCTGATAGTTTTTGAATTTTGGTCCTTCCAAAAAATTGCAGCATGCAATGGTGATTGGTAGTTTTTGTGCCTTGGAAATTGTGTATAACCTTGACTCTCATGACTAATTTAATAAACCGCATTTTCTTGCAAACATTCTTTGAATGTGCGTATATTAGTATCCTTGATCTGAGCATTGATCTGATCGCCCTAACAACAAATATTAAATGTTAATCTATAATTAAATTTATATTTTTTGTTAAAAGATTTATTATATGTAAAATATAAAATAATGTAGAACTAACTTCTAAGTCGTGGAAAACAATATCTAATGATTCCGGATCTCGAGAATGAGCAAGAACGTGATAAACTCTTAGAGCTCTTAGTTTTATCATCAATAATCCGGACCTTTCATCAACATTTTTTAAGGCGGTAATGATTCCCATGTTCGTACAAAAAACGATGGTGGAGCACCGATTAATTAAAACACTCGTTGATTATCTTACTTCTCTGGCCCGGTAAGGTAGCATATTTATACTATATGAATTTATGAATTTCGGTGTTCCTTTATTAATTAATAATAATTAATTACCGGATTGTTAACCTTTATTTTAACCAATATACTTACCTTATTAATTGGTAATAATCAATTATCGTTTTGTTAACCGACAAATAGTAAGTTTAAAATAAAAGTAATATACGTAAGTTTACAATAAAGTTAAGTAGATTAATAATTAATTGCCAATTTAAATTACTTACCTTTTTATCATTTCCAATTTAAATTAATCACGTTAGTATTGTTATTATTTCTTTATAATCACGTTTGGTAAGTTTTTCATAAATGGGAATGAGTCAAAACCGTGTAACATTAATGACCCGTGCAAAAGAATTAATAATAAAGAAAGAATTATTATTTCTTTAAATTACTTATCTTTTTAATCATTTCCAATTTAAATGATTAACGTTAGTATTATTATTATTGTTTAACCATGTAACATTAATTGCCATCAATTGCCATAATTAGGTTTGCCATTTTAACGTAATTATTTAATTTAATTATTTATTGTAATTGACTCATTACCATTTTAAGTGAACAATTACCATTTTTTATTGCAATACCAAATGGCCGGGATTAATATAAGTAAGTTTACAATAAAGGTAAGTAGATTAATAATTATTTACCAATTTAAATTAATAACCTTTTTAATCATTTCCTATTTAAATTAATCACGTTAGTATTATTATTATTTCTTACAATCACGTTTGGAAAGTTTTTCATAATTATTTATTATTATTGTTTAACCATGTAATAATTAATTCTGGTATTATTAGCCTTTATTTTAACCAATATACTTACCTTATTAATTGGTAATAATCAATTACCGTTTTGTTAACTGAAAAATAGTAAGATTAAAATAAAATTAATAGAGGCTAGTTTACAATAAAGGTAAATAGTTTGGCCGTGTAAACATAATTATTTAATTTAATTATTGCCATAATTAGGTTGGCCATGTTAACATAATTATTTAATTTAATTATTTATTGTAATTAAGTTATTACCATTTTAAGTGAGCAATTACCATTTTTATTGCAATACCAAATGGGCGGGAAAACCATCTCACGAATCCATGGCTTTTTAAATAAAGTATGGACTAATTCGTATAACTTTTTCAAATGATAAAACTATTGCTAAATGAGAAAATAGACACGCCCATAATAGAAACATCTTTGGGCAGGCTACTAAAACAGTCCAACTAATCTTATAAGCCGACATAACCTTTTTAATTTGTGCGTTCAGCCCAAATAACTGCTGGCCCATGGAATTGACGTGTGAGATTGCTATTGGTGGGTCGATCAGAAAACCCGTTCCGTTGACGTGGACGGTCGTCACGTCCCCCATTTCAATCGGAGAACCGTCCCTGCCGGGAAGTAGAGACGGGTTACTGCGGCGGAAGGCGGTAGGAAGAGAGCGCCGGCTGGAAAATGGCAAAAGCTTCATTGATTTCAATGGCTATTCTGTTAGCTTCCTTCGCGCCCTTTGTCTATTCCATCGAAGACAAATGCTCTGCTTGCACTGCCGTTGCCGTGAGTATCCATCGCCATTGTTTCTGGATTCTTCCACTCGAAGCTCTACACTGTGATTATTCTCCATCTTGTTCTTATTGTTTCGGATTAGACAACAAGTTTCATTGAAAATGGTCTATTTACAAAAGTCACTAGATTTTAATGTATGGATGTGTGAGAAAAGATTGAATCCATCGTAGCATTTCAAATCATTTCTCATTTTTTTTGTTTTCCTGAATTGCAGGAGGAGTTGGAGCGTGGGTTGATGAATGTAAGGATCCCATAAAGCTTTTCATCTTCTATGTTTTTGCTTATTGAGCTTAGAGCTTTAGTTCTTTATGCAGCATTGCATTATTTAGAACATACTTTCAATTACTTCCTTATATCAAAAGCCTTGTTTAATAAGTTCAAAGCCTTAATTTTGGTGTCCAAGTGTAGTAGTAGCACTTGTCGTTTTAGTGGGTTGTCTAGCACTTGAGCAGATTTTACACTTGAGTTATTAGGTGATATTTTTGAAGGAAGAAGAGGTTTGGTCTTTTCATTACAAGGGGGTCTTTACATTCCCCCATTAGAATGTAGAGACTATAAATATAGGCAGGGAGGATTTCTTTTATCTTGGTCTTTGAGTTAGTATTGCCTATGCACCAGAAACCATGGGCCTGGATTTGGGCATATTGCTTGACGTGATGAAACTGCTGTCCAACTTCAGCTAATTTAGTGCCTTTACAATTACTGTGCTGTGTGTGGCACATGAACGTTCATACAATGACTGGATTTCATCGAACAGGAGAAACCTAGAAATCATTTAGATATGAGACATCGCTTGGATTCTAAAGGTCAACGTGAAGGCAAGCTTATAGATTACAGGTATAGTGTCACATTACTTCAAATTTCTTGATTATCATATTTTGATCCGGTACTCTTAATTCTGCTAGTGGTACTTTTGTTATTCTTGTGGTGATTGTAACAACTTTATGGGTCCACGATTATATGGTAAATTTTCTTAACAACTTTAAGTTTTCTTAAATGAGTGGAAAGGCCTGTCTGATTTAGGAAGTGTAAACTTTAACAAAGGTAGAAGGAAATGATGAGGCGATTCAAGTAAATTTCCTTACTGATCTTCTAATCTTTTTAGTAGTAACACAAAAGAAAACTCACATGACAAACTTTTCGCAACAAAACATTTAATATTGAGTATCATTCAGGTAGGCTTAAATGCAACTGTGTTTTGTAATAAAATCATACTGATGCTTCTTTTAACACCTATTATTTGTCTTAATTAACATCAGGAGGGTCATATCCAAGTTACAGTATTTTTACTGACTTTATACTCTATAGAGTTCTCTAGTACTTGGGTTTCTAGAACTTATTATTTTGCCAAATCTACGTCAACCTTAGTACCTTATCATATTAATGTAATTATTTTTCATGAAGCATATATCATTTTCAATATTATTCGTGAATTTGTATATGATCAATCCCAAGTGACTTACTTATCTGCAATTTTGTCAGGGTTAGTGACCTGAGAGTTGTCGAACTCTTAGATGAGCTTTGTGATAAGATGCAAGATTATACTCTTGAGAAGGTGTTCTTCTTCTTTGAATGGGTTTCCTTTATGCCTTTTTACTAAGAGTGTGTTGCTGCTCAAAAAAAGCATTGAAATGTCTGCTTGTCTTCATGAATGTTATTGCTGATCTCACCTGTCTGGCAGGTTGATTCAGGCACAAAAAGGTGGATCAAAGTGAAAGACTGGGATCAACTTAAAACTGGTAAGAGTCATTTCTTATGACCTTGTTCTCTCCCAATTTTGTTGTTCTGTTGAAATTTGAAAAACAGAATGCGTATGACCTTGGTCAGTTTTGTTTATAATATCATTACATTAATGCAACCAATCAATTAGTTTCCTTGTTTGATATACCAAAAATATGATGAGTTTTGCGTCTGAGTCATCACGTGGCATGTTGTGTATGTCAGTTCAATCTAATCTGTTAAAGAGAACTTCCCTGTCTTTGACCCAAAAGATCCTATCGCTCTTTGTTTCTTTGCTTCACTGTACACAGAGTGCATGGAAATTTTTCTTAAAGCATTGGAACTGGGAACATAAATGGTACTTCCATAAAACAATGGTTTCAATGGCTTTGTAGTACACGTTTCTATGCTCCAAAGAAATGCTTTAAAAAACCTGAATTGAAGATGGATCATGTGGAAGACTGGAAGTGCTAATTTTTCCATGATATTGGAATTGTATGCCCGTTAGTAAATCCAGCTCTTACGAGGAGGTTCTTCTCACTATCAAGTTCACTGCACACAGCATCAGTTGAAAGTATCAAATTCATTTCCCTCCCTCTCCACAGTACTTCCTAAAAGGGGAAGAAATTTTGTGTCTTAGTGATCATTAAAAAAACAACACCTTTCAGTTGATATAGAAATTCTAAGGGATAAAAAAGATTGATTCTTAGAAGGTAGGTATTCTCATATGAGTAACAAACTACTAAAACATTTGTCCATTTACTATCTGATCATTATATGATAGAAGTGTACATCAGGGTGTTTAAATGCAAAAGTAATAAAATTTCCCATGTAGGACTTCCCAATATTAAATGGGTTGTTGCAGTTGTTGTGACTTCCCAATATTAAATGACACGACCATTTCATGTAAGATTTCTAAGTAACCTGCTTGATGAAATAGGCAAATGCAAACACGATTGAGACATTCGTGTACAATCTCATTCATGTCCAGTTTGAAAAGACACTCAATTCCTGTGATTTCATTTTTTCACAGGAATCACATCATATGTCTACTTTTAGGATCAGAATTACTGAAACATTTCAATGACGTAAATTGGAAGGCCTCACATGTCTATGCTATTCCATGAGATTTGTTCACTTCAAGGCATTGGGCGAATTCCCAATGCTCTATAGTGCTTTTTTCTAACAATACTCTGCCATTCAGTTTGGAATAATTCAATTCTGACCATTAAAACCTTCCAAACTAGGCCTTAGAGGATTATTATGATCATAATGAAGCGGTGATGTTTTGAAAGCTCATGGGAATGTGAATGTTTTGATAATACAACATGAATTGTCACAATGTCATGTAAAGATGTCATGGCGAACAGAGTTAGGATTATACTGGGTTGTTTTTGTTGTTGTTGTTGTTGTCGTTGTTGCTGCTTCTGTCAAGATGTTATGTGTACTCAAGTTTTCACATCTAATGTTTGCATCCACAGCGGATAGATTAAAATGGGATCGGATATTCTTTTATTTGCAAAATATTTTCTTGGAGTTCTTATAATATGGCACATACACTTTTCATTTATATTGACAGAGAAGGAAATGAATAGAGTTCAATATGTATAGCCAACTCTGTATTTTTCTTTGTTGATAGATAAGCAAGAAGCTCGAGCACATTCCAAAGCAATATCATCTTTCTGTGGGAGGTTAGTTTAGAAGAAATAAGTTACACTTCTCCAATTGCCTTCTAGTTTTGCCTCAAAATTTAGAAGCTTAACTTAGCTCAACAATATGTCAGGTTGCTCGAGGAAACTGAAGATAAGGTAGTGAATGCTTGGAAATTTGCACGTTCATTACTATTGCCATGGTACTGCTGTTTATTCAGTTGTTATTTATACATAACAAATGCTTCTTCTTGAACAGTTGTCCGAATTGATTAAGAAAGGGTCAGTCAAAGTAGGAGGCGTTGCCAAGGTTTTATGTGAAGACCTCAGCAGACTTTGCATTGGGACAAGGTAATTACAAAAATTAGCTACAAATAATGCATAAATTGTGTTGTTTCATGATACAACTGCAATTGAGTTGTTTCATGATACATCTTGCGCCTGCTTCACAAATTGTGTTTCGATCAAGTAATTGAGATTATATTTCTTTACTCTATATGCGGCTAGCAAATCAATGATCATTACTCCGCATGAATCATTAAACACACGCCGCAGAACCTTTTTACGCCTGGTTAGACTAAACAGAGTACATATGAATCATTAAACACACGCCACAGCACCTTTTTACGCCTGGTTAGACTAAACAGAGTATTTGGACATGAATAGTTTACCAAAAAGCTGGGTTTTATGTCATGCATATAATAATGATAAGCATCATAAATAGTTTACCAATACGGGTTTAGTTATTAAAGACCTACATAAGAACTATTTTCGACACTGCATAAATCGTAATGTGCTGTTGGACATGAACCACTTATATGATTATATCAACGATAACATGTTTCAGCACGAAGGCATCTAGTTTAATACTTCACTACATGTCTCTTTTTTTCACTGCATTTAATTTATGGTGTAATCATCAGATAATAATAAGTTTATAAGCAAAAATTAGATTCCAAGATTATAGCTCCACCAAATGTGATGACTCTAAAGAGTTAGAATCTTCTCATGATCTGAGCTTCATTCGAGCAATTCATTACAGAATCAAGACCACATATTTATGGGACGACACCGTAATTGATGCATACATATTGGAGAATAATTTGTACAAGAGATATTTCAATGCTACCTGTATGGTTTACACTTTCGAGAACGTTTTAATTTGTTTCAGCAAGGATGAAGACAACGAGGATCACACCGAGCTCTGATTATAGAATGGAGATCAGATGGATATGAAGATGAAACTATATACCATTTTTTTCTCATTAATTAATGTGTACCAGCATTGAACTTTGCAAACACTTATCATCCTCCTGATTTGTGTTTCCCAGTTTATTTAACTACATAACCAACAATATTATTATACATGCTATAGCTGTTGTTAATTTTTGCAGCATAAAATCAAAGAATATTTGTGTATAACACATCATCTTTGTTTGTGCCTTGGATGATGATGAAAATGTCTTTATATTATCTCAAGTTTATGCTAATTCAATTTACTGTTGATATATTGGGTGATTTATAAACCACAATCTCATAGTGTCTCATCAAATCTTATTATTGTAAAATTTTGTTCAATTTGTTTTAATCTATTAGGCCCCGTTTGGTACATGGAATTCAAAGTATGAAATTGGAGTTGAGGACTTCAATTCCAATTCTGGTATTTGGTGGCACAAAAATTACGTGGATTTGGAATTAATAGTGCAAAAAATGAATTGGAATGAACAAAATTCAATTTTATGGAATTGTGTCCCATGAAATTTCAATTTCAATTCAATTCCAATTCCGTCAATTCCGTATACCAAACGGACCCTTACGGAGTATCTTAAAATATATTAACTGTGGTTATATTTAATGTGGAATTCATTTGCAACACAAACAAAATGTGAAGTACTTAGTCATATTCCACAAATAAGACCTATTTCCTCTCTAACTCTGTTTATCAAAACAGTCCTTTCGATTTTTTCGTTTTCAACAAAACAATTCCACTCTAACAAAAATGACTAATGTATTCAAATATTATCGTTGTCATATACTTTCATTTTGCATTGATATAATAAGTTATTTAAATCAGTTGTCTCTCTTTTTTCTTCGACTTAAAGGATATAATTAAAAAGTCAAATTATGAAAATAAATCTGGTAGAAGTCAAAATAAGAAATGTTTTACCAAACGAAGTAATTATTAAATTTTAGTCTTAAAATTGATTTTTATTTTTAAAATAAGACTTCAATTAATTTTAATAGAGAGTAAAATATCTGTTACCCTAATTTATAGGGTTCTTTTCATTCTTCTTTTCACAAGGGATCTACAGTATATCGAACAGCAATTACACTTCTTTCATCATTGACAACTAATAAGAACGAAAGGGGAGAAACAAATCCTCTGTAGAAACCCAATGTTCATCATCATCATCTTCTTCCTCGCAGCCCAAGAAAGGGTTCATCTTCCCATCTTCAAAACCTATTTCCATCGGAGCCAAACACGCCGCAACATCTTTGTTATCCCGGACGAACGGGTGCTGGAGCAGCTTCCTCGCCGTCCATCTCTCCTCTCCCCACGGCTCTCTTTTCAAGAAACACTTGCTCAGGAAATCCCTCGCCGTCGCCGGAACTTCTTCCGGGATTCCCGGCTTCTCGTACAGAATCTGGTCTATCAAGTCGTTGGAGTCCCTGCACAGCCACGCCGGCTCTCCGGTGAGCATCTCCAGTACTATGCAACCCAATGCCCATATATCGTCGCCGGTGTTGTGCTTTCCGGTGGCCAGATACTCCGGCGACGCGTAAAACAAGCTCCCCCGGCAGTGGTGCGGGCAGAACGGTTCTTCTTCTTCCTCGTCTTCTTCTTCTTCATCGTCGTCGTAGTACGTTACGTCCTTCTTTCCGGCCAACGTGGAAACCCCGAAGTCGGCGAGTTTTAGGCGGAACAGTCTCCCGCCGTCCGCCGCCGGAAAAACAAGAATGTTTTCCGGCTTGAGGTCGTTGTGGACGAACCCTTTTTCGTGGACGTGGGAAAGTCCCATGAGGATTTGGTACGCGTAGAAAGACACGTCGGATTTCTGGATGAGGGTTGTGCCGTCGTACCCGGGGCGGATCAGGCTGCCGAGGCTCCCGGCGGGGGCATACTCGAGGAGGAGGTTGAAGTCCCTCCACCCGCCGTCGTGGGGATCGGCGGCGGCGCTGACGTCTTCCCCGAAGCAGTGGATGACGTAGGGAGAGCCCCTGAGCTGTCTCAATATTCGAGCTTCACGGAGGAGGTTCTCGGCGGAGTTGACGTCCACGGATTTGACGGCGATCGGGGAAGAGTCGTCGCCGGCGGCGACCGGCAAAGCGAGGTAAACTCCTGCATGTGTTCCCCGTCCGATAGCGCCGCATTGTTTTGTCCAAGAATGTTTCATGGCTCTCTCTAATCACTACTAGTAATTACACTCTAATTATAATAATGAAATATTACAGAGGGTCTTATTTATACGCACGGATTATACCTAGTTGTGGGAGGATTAGGAAATCTATTGAATTATTGTGGGGGATTAATATATATAAATGGATAAAAAATCAATTAGTAGAACAAGGAAGTTGCCAAATACAATAATACTCCCTCCGTTTGAAATCAATTAGGGATCAATATTTATCCATTTTGATTTGGAGCAAAAATAAGGAAGTGTTAAATTATAGTTGATTTCCAATTTTGCCCCTGATGTGATGGGTAAAAGTAAGATGTGATGGATAAATTATTAGAGAAAAAGTATGACGTGATAGGCAGGGTATGAAAAAGTAAGGGTAAAAGTGGTTTTTTAATTGAAAAGAAAAGTGTTTTGTTGAAAGTGGAAAAAATGAAAGAGGAAGTGTTTTTGAGAATGGAGTGAGTAATTAAAAAAAACACTACTCCCTCCCATTGTTCTTTTGTCACTAAATTTAATGTTTATAGATAATTTTGTTAAAAATATTAGTACGTACTTCTGGTTTTAAATATTTGTTCAGATTTAATTTTTTCACTCCAAATTTATATACATTTGGTTATTAATTAAATATCAATGCAATGGAAAAATTAAATTATTGGAAAAAGCTTTTCATCACATTAAAATTTAAGTTGTGCTCCTTCATTCTTAGAAATCAAAACTAACCAATCTTACTGTGTACAAACGTGAAAAAATAAATGTACAATTTTACCCCGCCCCCCACCATTCCCTAGGAACATGCGGAGTATGAATAGATGATTGGCTAACAAGTAACAAGTGAGTATATAGTTGAATTGGGGGGAGAATCATTAGGAAAGAGATAATTAAATCCTAATTGTCCTATATATATCTCTAATCCTTTCTTTTCTGACCAATAAATATTAGGAAATTTTTACACTTTTTTAAATAACAGAAATTCCCTTACTTGGGAGCCAAGGATCGGGTTTATTTTGAGACGCTGTTTTTATGTTTTATCTTTAATTTTTAAAGCAATATTTTGTATAATAAATAACATAAAATAGTCCCTCAAAAAAATAACATAAAATAGATCAGTTTAATTATGATTAGAAAAAAAATTCTTTGGTTGTTTCCAAAGCTCCGAGTTAAACAAACCATTATACTCCATACTTGTTTGTAAATTCATTATAGCATCCACACCCCATAAATTAAAATTCATTTATTCAATCATTCTTCTTCATCCATATTATTTAATTTTTACATCATCCATCCACTCATACCATCTCTTCCACCTATTTGTCTAAATGTCAAGAAACCAATTCAACCAAAAGTCCAAACTTGTGGTTGTGGTTCAAGAAGACTTATTTATATTCTAACACGCATCCTCACTTGCACGCGTAGACTTTTTCGAGTCTTGCACGTGAAACTTTAATTTTCTTAAAACTAGGTGACGTTGAGTTTCGAACTCGTAACCTCTTAGTCAACAAGACTCCGATACCATGTCAAGGAACCAATTCAACCAAAAACTCAAGCTTGTGGTTGATTGTGGCCCTGAAAGACTTATTTATATTCTAACACTAATTAATTATTTATGGGTCTCACTCGTACTCAACTAGATTTATTGTTTTAAATAATTTATACTTTGTATTTAATTATATTGTGTTTAATAAATTTTAAATTTTAAATATAAAATTTAAAAAAGGGGTATAGGGTGATGGAGGTTGGGGGTGGGGGAGGGAGTGTGGGGGGATGGAGCGGAAAGATAATGATTTTTTTTTTCGATTTTAAACATAAATTGTTTTCTCCCATTGAAGAAAAAATACTTTTTTCTAGAAATTGTTCTTTTTTCTCCTAATGTCACCAAACACAAGATAATAAAATCAAAATTTTACTGGTATTAATTTCGCTCTAACCAAAGACACCATAAGAAAACTTTTTTGTTAGCTGGCACATTAATGGGCTTTGATTATTTATTACAAATAAGCTTGATGGGCTAGCGATTATTTAATATAATGGGGGCATGGGTTGGGTCAAGATGTGAATTTAAACACTCGAATACTTACTTGGCTAACAAGAAACAAGTGAGTTGTGTGGTTTATTCGCTACATTCACTAAATTTTCAATTTTTAATATCTGTAAAAATAAATAAAAAAAACAACATAAATATACGGATTAGCTACTTAGATTGTGTTTCAACTATTCTTTTAAGAGCAATCTAAATACATCTCCATACTAACGTGCAAATCATCCATGGTACGAGAGAGCAAAATAGTGTTGTGACGGGTTAATAAAGATGACAATCAATTAAAATAGCACTTGAACTATCTTTGATTCCCCTCCGAAGGAAGTTAATGATGCTTATCACGATGATAAAAGTGGGTTACTAAGCAACTGAAGGATCGAGAAATGAGTTAGATTTTTTTGAATCTTCAAATAGATAGCCTTCAAAATATTTCATAGTTTTTATTTGAGTTGTGCTTCTTATATCTTAAGCTTTACAAGTGAAATTTAGTTATATATTTTAATGAAACATCAACCAATTTAATTTTAGACGTTTCTTTCTTCCTTTGTTTTATTAAATTACCTAAATAAATTTCTCAATTTCTTCTAAGCAAAGACGATTTAATTCACATCAGTTCTTTGTCATTTAGAACTTTTTTTAATGCTCTATTCATAAAATTGATGATTTCTACTCGTCTCTAAACCAACTGCACCACCACAAAATTGAAATACTCCCTCCGTCCCAAAAATATTTACACATTTCAAAAAAATTGCGTCCCACAATCTCCTACCCATTTCTATTAAAAAACCACTTTTACCCCTTACTTTTTCAAACAATATCTATCACATCATACCTTTTTCCTAATAATCTACACATTACATCCTACTTTTACCCATCATATCAAGGGTATTTTTGGAAAGTCAACACAAAATTATCTCTCTCTTAATTTCAAATTTAGTCAAAACGTGTAAATCTTTTTTGGACGGAGGTAGTATAAGATTTCAAATGATTTCTAATTATTAACATGACCTCACTATATTTACATTTTTTCGATTTTTCAATAAATGTTACTTCCTCCGTCCCACTATATTTGTCAACTTTCATTTTTGCACACCATCCAATACACTTCTTTAATCTATTTTATCTTGTAATTTGTATATTAAAAAATTATAGAAATTATATATTAATAATCTATATGTTAAGACAAATCAAACAAGATCACGCATGACTATATTTAGGCTTACACATTGAGAGAATTTGATGAGTCAAATTACTTATATGAACAATTCCAAAAGTCAAAAGTGGACGAATATAGCGGGACAGAGGGAGTATTAAATATCGTGAAGCAAATCATTACATTTATTTGGAAATAAAAAGTATGGAATAATTTGCATTATTATTTGGAAAATTCAACTTGTATCCCATATTTGTACTCCAAGGGTTTGTCCTGATATTAAATGTAAGTGCAAAACTAATTTGTATTTACATTTTATGTTAGAGTAAAATTTTGGAGTACAAATTAGAATGAGAGTAGCATGCTCATTATTTTTTTCAATTTGGATAAGGGTAGCATGCTCATTATTTTTTTCAATTTGGATACAATTTTTGCAACTTTGGTTAAAATAGTTGGCAAGCTAGCAAGTGAATCATATGCTAGTATAAAAAACAATATGAAAAGGTGACACTTCAATTGTTACCTACTCCTTACGTACGGTATAAGACAATCCAAAAAAAATACGAAATTCATTTCCCCGCAACCGACGGCGGCAGCTTCCTCATGAGTATTCGCCCTGCTTTTCACGGCGGCGCCGGATCGTCGAATTCACCGCCTTCTACTCCTCCGCCCAGCGCCGCCCCGCCGCGAATCGGAGACTTCGATCCGGACTTCGTCGTCATCCTCGCCGCTCTTCTCTGCGCAGTAATTTGCGCCCTCGCCTTAGCCGCCGTCGCTCACTGCGCCTGGATCCGCCGGATCTCTGGCCGAGACGCCGCCGCTTCGCCGCCGCATGCCAACAGGGGCCTGAAGAAGAAGATCCTCAAGTCGCTCCCCAAGGTCAATTTCTCGCCTGAGCTCGCCGCCGAATTCTCCGAGTGCGCCATTTGCCTGGCGGATTTCGCCGCCGGAGACGAGCTCCGGGTGCTCCCGCAGTGCGGTCACGGGTTCCACGCCGGATGTGTTGACACCTGGCTCGGATCTCACTCTTCGTGTCCGTCTTGCCGGCAGCTCCTGGTGCCGCCCCGGTGCCAGAAGGGCGGGGAATCGCCGGCGGCGACATGTTCGGCTGTCGAATACTTAGCCGACAACAGATTTGCTCCCAATAGTGTTTATCACGTAAATCCCTTTTTACCTTAATTTACCTTAATCAGTTTACTGCCTTTGCTTTTGTACTTTTATACCGTCAAATAATAAATTGCACATAACTCACTTTCTTTGGATTAATAGCCACTTTGACCAGATACGAAAATAAAAAAAATGACAGTACAAATGTACAACAGTAAACAAAACAATGAAATATTCTAAAATAATGTTTAATAGATAATTTAAATCAAAAATGGTAAGTTTGTAAAGTTTGCCATTTTATTTGTGAACCCGACGTTACTCTTGTTAGAAAATGAAAAATGTATGGATAAAAATTGCTTAGAAAAGAAAAAATATATTTTAATCACTTATCATTATCACATTTTTAAACAAATCTTCTACTTAGAATAGGAGTAAAAACTTATAAAAATATCAAAATAGAAATTCTAAATCTTTTGTTAGTGTAGTACCATAGTGGCCGCCACCCCTCTACTCCACATCTCTACCTCGGGCATGTTTGGTGAGTACAAAAGATATAGTTTTCATATCTCTTGGTATCATATTTATTTTTTGGTGTTTAGTGAATCTTCTAAACAGAGAGTTTTGATATCTTCCAAATTTAGGAGTTATCAATGTGAAAATTTGATATCTTCATCAAACATCACATCCCCCGCCTACTATTGAAATCGCCAACCACCCATGTTCCTGGAGACTCCCGTCAATAACTACTTAATTTGTGATCTTAAATTTCTCCAAATAATTTCATTTCAGATTTCAAAATTCATATTATTTCTTTCGGATTTCAAAATCATATCATATCATACTTGGAAAACTCAACAAACAGGCTCTGGGTTTTCCCTTCCTTCGCGTAGCGCCATGTAGGAATGACAATTCCTACCCGACCCGATGAATAATTGATTCACTCGATCGACTCATTCTCGTGGAAAAAGACTTAATTAAAAAGAAAAGGATGAAGGATGGACTAGTGATGGATCAGTTCAGATGTGGCTTGGGATGTTTCACATCTGTCATCATCTGATCCGATCAATCACCCGACAGATTCGTATTTACTTTAAAAAAATTAAAACTGAAAATATTACATTTGTTGAGTACATAAATTTTTTCTAATTTCGAATATTCAATTTTATCAAAACCTAGTTTGTAACTTAAAAAATTATTTCTTTGCAGGATTTTATTGTAATAAATATCGTTAACCTCTTATATCTTTCTAATATTTTTCAGCGTTACATGCTTTAAATTTTTTTCATGAGATTCATGATTAAAAAAAAATACTCTATTACTTAATTATATCGCTTGTTTTCACCCACTTAACTTGCAAGTGATAGATGGATCGAGTGATAGGTAATGTATGTAACGGATGATAAATGGTTGATGAGATAATGAATATGAAGTCGATAGATGGATGAGGTAAAAGTTTCACTCCACCAAAACCCGACCCATTACCCTCCCTAGCACCATGTCCCACCCTTTGCATGTAGGGCTGTTCACGTTTAGGTTCAGATCGAAAAAATCAACCAAACCAGATCGTTAGGTCTAGACCGAACCCGGATCAAATGGATTTTGGGTCGGTCTTCGGTCTATAAAATTTAGGTGTTCGGGTTTCGGTCTGGAACAATCCAAACCTAAAATGATTTAGGTCCGGACTGATTGGACCGAATGATCCTAATAACCCTACTGGACCTAAAAGACCTAAACACTAAAACTTTATTTTTTAAATTCCGTATTACATTTTGATGCTCTATTTTAATAGATATCTTAATTTATTTAATTAAAAAGGTTTTTTATTAAGTAATTTTTAAAAGAAAATTTTTTAAAAAATGTTTTACATTAGTTTTTATGAATCTACATAGAAGTAGTTCATATTGTGCATCCATTTTTAGGTTCCTTATTTTTTTTCTATTTGCACGGTACAAAGTAAAAGCCTAAAATATATTTAATTGATCAAAATAATTAAAAGAATATATGTTTTTATTCGGTCTGCACTGGTTCGGTCTTAAATATTTCGGTCAGATCCGACTCAAATCTGAATAGATTTATGTTCGGTCTTCGGTCCGTGATTTTATTCAAATCAGTCTTCGGTATGGTCCAAATCAATCCAGTTTGATCTGGTCTTGGACTGATGAACAACCCTACTTGCATGCATGTTGGCAATTCAAATTGCTTCTTGGTGTTGTGATTTTGACATCACTTAAATTAATTAGCTTAGTTTTTGGATGTTGACATTGTAAATCATATTTTTGCATTGTTTATAAATAATTCATAGTGTTTTTTGGCATTTGACATTAATTTTGACTTTATGCGGTTTGGCATATATAGTTGGGACTTGGGGTTTGGTACTATGGGAACACATTGTAATTTTTTGGCATTATATCACAAGGCTTTTATTTAGCATTGTATTGATAGTTTTTGAGGCTTTGTTGAATTGGCACTTGGACAAGGACGATAATATAATGTGGCGGCAAATCGATTTAATGGACTTAATTATTTTGGCGATAATAGATAATCTATTTTTCTTTTGCCCACAAAAAAAGCTTAATAAAAATAAGAAATATTTGCACTAAATAACACCAAAACTTAATCATTTTTCTAAATAGCACTTATACTGTTTTATTCCCTAACTAACACTTAATAATGTTCATAATGTCTAGTGATGGCGAACATTTACTTAAATAATGACTAACGGATAATGACTAAAAGTGCTACATTGTGAAAAAACAAATGAAATATTATTTAGGAAAAGTCATTATATTTTAGTGTTATTTACGTAAACTCCCCTAAAAATAAACTAATTCCGCCATTTTTTTTCATTTGAGGTTTCTTTTCAACCTATTCCTTCTGTCTCTTTTGAATGTTTACTTTTAAGATCAACTTTTTAAATAAATTTTGACTACAAATTATATAATAAATATACTGAATTATGATATAAATTTAATATCAATAAGTTTATTTCGAAACATATATAATTATGAAATATTATGCTTTTATAATATTCCCTTCGTCCCAAAATCTCCTCTTCCTTTTTTCAACTTGTCTCACAAAATCTTTCTCATTTCTATTAAAAAATCATGTTTACTCTTACTATTTTTTAAATACCTATCACATCATATATTTTTACTAATAATCTACACATCACATCCTACTTTTACCTATCACATCAAGAGTATTTTTGGAAAGTGAATCCAAAATATATCTCTCTTAAATTTTCTAAAAATCAAAATAGAAATATCTTTTTGGGACAGGGAGAGTATATATATCTATAAATAAATAAAGGCAATTGTTAGAGTATATATAACAGTTATTCCTGAACACAACCACGAGCTTGAGCTTTTGGTTGAGTTAGTTCCTTGACAACAATAATACAATGATCAAAGTGTTGCATGATAAGTAAACAGATTCAAAAGCGAGAGAAGAAGTAATGTTCTACTCCGTATGTAAGTAATTAATTTAGGAAAAAGTATTATGTTTGTGAGTGAGAAAGTATAGATTGCATAGAGCATAGAAATATGTTTAGGAAAATGCTAGGGTGCCACGACATGAGTGATATCATGGGTGCACCCATGCTTCACATAGACAAACACAGACGATAATTGTCTGTGTCGCACAGATAATTATCGTCTGTGTGAAGCATGAGTGTACTCATGGTAGCACCCATGTGGTGGCACCCTAGCATAGTCCATATGTTTATGATGATGATGAACATCTAATTAATTAGTGAACATGACATTTGGGTTTCTCAATGGTTTGAGCCACACATGATCACCATCATCAGCTGCTGCAATTGATGATGAATATGATCTACCTAATGAGGAGGATATACTCCACATCACATTTTTATTACCAGCTGCACTACTATCATCCTTTTTTGCTTGATGAGGAAATATTATCAATCCTCCACCCCAACCCCCTTTTGAGCTTCTCCCATTATTATTATTATTATTATTATTATTATTATTATTATTATTATTATTATTATTATTATTATTATTATTATTATTATTATTATTATTATTATTATTATTATTATTATTATTATTATTTACAAGTCCATTCCCCATCAACCATTGCATTGCACTTCTCATCCTCTCCTTCTCTCTACCTATATTATTGTCCCAACAACTCCCATTATTGTTATTTTTGTTTCCCTTCCCCCCTCCTTCACCTCCTCCACCACCGCCGCTGCTACCACCACCACCACCGCTCCCTTTCATCAGTATGCCCACGACGTGCAACTCTCCTATTTCCAACCGTTCCACCGGCCCGGTTTTCTCCTCTCCCCCGCCACCACCACCAGAGTTGCTAACAGCATGGACTAGTACGAGCATTGGACCTCCGACCACCTCGTACTGCCTGAGCGGGTCCCGCAGCTGGACGACGAAGCATATGTCTATGTTCCCGTCCTCATCGTTCCCTCTCGTTAGCCACTCTTGGAGCGAGACCGCGCGTTCGAAAAGAGTGGCGACTCCGTTGTCACACGACGATGATGAAACATCAAAGCGCGGCGGCAGCGCTTCTTCCACTTCTTCATCGTCGATGCCGGCTTGGATTTTCAAGGCTTCGACGATCACCTCTTCGAGTTTCCGCACTGATAAGCCTAAAACATCAGCCGCCGTCGTGCACCTCTCCTGGCTCTTGTCTCCCCTGTTCATCGCATTTGCCATCGATTTGACCACAGCTAACGTGCGCATCTATCACATTATCGAAACATAGCATGAACTTTTAATCATCCAAACATTTCTTATTAGTTTGACTTTTTAATTAGGTCGAATATCTAAACTTTGAACATAAACTAAGGAAAAATATATATTGAGTTAATATATTTCCTCTATTCAAAAAAGATGTTCTCATCATTTTGGGTTTTAAGAAGTTCAAGGGGAGATTCTTTTTATGTTGACTTTCCAAAAATACCTTTGATGTAATGAATAAAAATATGATGCGATGTATAGGTTATTAGTAAAAAAGTATGATGTAATAGGTAGTTTAAGAATTAGGAAGGTAAAAGTGAGTTTTAATAGAAATGAAAATGATTTTGTGGGACAAATTAAAAAAACAAATGGGAAAGAATATTTGGGACGGAGGGAGTCTAAATTTAATATTTATAAATTCAATGAAATACTAAATTTTTTTAATAATATACTCCCTCCGGTCCTAAAAACATGTGATGTTTCTTTTTTCATCCGTCCTAAAAAAAACTTCTTATTTCTATTAAAAAGCTACTTTTACCCCTTACTTTTTCATACCCTACCTATCACATCATAGCTTTTTACTAATAACATATCAATCAAATCTACTTTTACCTATCACATCAAAGGATATTTTTGGAAATTCAATACCAAAATACATTACCTTAAATCTCTTCAAAATCAAAACATCTCATGTTTTTAGGATGGGAGGGAGTAGATCTATATACTCTCTCCGCCCCGTAGATCTTCTCATTAGTCCTTTTTATTTGTCTCCCAAAGATTTTCACCTTTTTTAATATTTAAAAAATCACAACTACTCCAACTTTATTTATTACACCTCACCACCTTATTTAATACACTCCTCTTATTTTCATTAAGGATATTTTGGTAAACTTTCAATTTTTTTCAACTCTCCTTAAGTCTACAAAAAGTCAAAAATGAGATCTTAGTGAATGTTTCTTTGTGCTTATAAGCTGGTCAAGATTGCTTATAAGCATTTTTAATTTATAATTCAGCCAATGACATATTTTTGTGTGCTTATAAGCTAAAAAAAATAACTGGGTCTTATTTACATATTTTTAATTCAGTTTTTTCGAATCTCTCTTTAGACGAGATCAATTTTTTACAAAATTATCTCTTATCATTGTGATGAATACTTACAAATGAGAAAGAAATACTCTCTCCCTTTTCACAAAATCTTTCCGGTTTTGACTTTGGGGAAAAATAAGGAAAGTGTAATTTTGGTTGACTTTTCAATTTTGCCCCTGATGTGATGGGAAAAAGTAAAATGGGATAGTTTGGTTATTAGTGAAAAAGTATGATGTGATAGGTAGGGTATGAAAAAGAAGGGGTAAAAGTGGTTTTTTAATAGAAAGTGGAAGTGTTTTGTGGAAAGCAAAAAAAACGAAAGAGGAAGGGTTTTGTAGAAGGGAGGGAGTATATGGACGGAAGGAGTAGTGTACTTACAAAAGAACTCGAGGAGGAGGTGGGACTGCGGCAGGTCTGGGCCATGGTGGAGGGGTTCCCTTTTCCTCGTTGGTGAAGGATTTGAGAGGCAATGCCTTCAAAGGCAATCTGCTCTGCACTCTTTCCCATAAGCTCCTCAATGGGCATCAAAGTGGAAAGGAGAGAGGTCATCCCTTCCACTCCCATACCCGCCGCCATCCTCTGCAACGCCTCCATAACATTATTCATCCCCGCCGCCTTCCCATTATCTGCGCCGTCGTCTGATTGCCGCTGAGGACGAGTATTAAGAACCAGTGGTTTTGACATCTGCATGGCCAGTCTCGGGCCTTCCCTTTTTGCCCCTACTGCTGCAACGTTATTTCCTACCTGCTTATGATGCTGTGGAAATCAAAGAAAATATCTGTGTATGAGAGTGCACAAGAAGAGAAATACTCTTTTAATTAAAACACATGCAGAGATTTGATAACTAACTCAATAATATATTCTCTCCGTTTCACAAAACGGTTCCTACTTTGACTTTAAGAACAAATAAAGAATGTATATTTGTGATTGACTTTCCAATTTTGTACTTGACGTGATTGGTAAAATAAGATGTGATGCATAGTTTATTAGTGAAAAAGTATGATGTGATAGATATGGTAAGAAAAAGTATGGGTGAGAGTGATTTTTTAATAGAAAGAAGAAGTGTTTTAGAGAAAACAAAAAAAAAGGTTTTAAGAAACGGAATACATACCAATATATACATTTCATGATGCAACAATGAAGAAATGTAAAAGGTACATACCCTAAGAGGATTGATGGAAGCAAGGAAACCTTCATTCCTTGTTAGAACAACGCATCCCAGTCCATCCCCAAGTTCTGCTAATGACCAATTATTACTCTCTTCTTCTTCTTCTTCTGAATCCTCCTTCTCATCATCATCATCATCATCATCATCATCATCATGAAGCTTTTCAATAAACTCCCTTGTGATCATTTCTTCTTCTTCTCCTTGTTTATCCCGCCAGTAGTGGCCTTTGTCTCCCAACAAGACGGATTCCAGTTCTTTGATTTGTTGGGCAATGGAATCAAGCACAGCCATACGAAACCTCAACTTATTCCCATCACTACAACGATGATGATGATGATGCATAACTTCCTTGACCACAACCTCGTTCAAAACTGCGTCGTCCCTCTTCGCGCAAACCTCTTCCACTTCCACGCCCTTGTCCACCACCTCGTACTCCACCCCCGGCATGTCTTCCGTCATTCTTCTTGTCTTCGAATCTCGCATCGTCGTCAGGACACTGAACGATGTTTTCGACTGTCTCCGTGCGAACGAACACGAGCGTTCTCCCTTCTTGATTGCTGCGGCGTTCTGTCGTCCCCGGATGTACGTCCCGATGCCATCTTTCTCCATTATCTGAAAACTCAGTTTCAGACTTACCTTTCCTCCCTCGGCTTTTCCCCACAAGTTGAAGCTCGTGTCCCATTTTCTTATAGGTGCGTCTGCATGTGCCGTGAAGAAAAAAGGGTTAGTTTTTGAAAAAACATGATACAAATTGATAAAAATTGGTCTTATTAATAAAGTTCATCCCTCTGTATAATTAGAATAACAACCAGAGAAATTTGCACTCAATAGGACTAAAACATAAGTCATTTCCCAATCTATAACTTAAACTTTTTTATTCTCTAAATATGACTTAATAATGACTAGTGATAAGAATAATGTCAAGTGATGCTGAACATTTAGTTGAATAATGACAAATAGATAATGACGAATGGTCCTATATTGAAAAATAAAAACATCTAGTCCTATATTGAGAAAGTCATTATGTTTTAGTCCTATTTAGATAATTACCCTAACAACTATAGAAGTAATAGAATAAGAAAAAGAATAAATAATAACATGTACTCCCTTCGTCCCTAAAACATTTCTTCTTTCTTTTTTCATTCGTCCAAAAAAAACCTTTCATTTATACTAAATTATCACTTTTACCCCTACTAGTTCTTAAACTACATAATAAGTTACCAAACCATATCACACACGGGTGAGGGAGGAGAAAGTAGACCTAAATAACGAGCTGAGTACGTAAATCAAAGAAATATTTGCAATAAATAGCACTAAACCATAAGTTATTTCTTAATGTAGAACTTAAACTTTTTTATTCTCTAAATAACACTTAATAATGTCTAGAAGTATAAATAATGTCTAGTGATGGTGAAAATTTACTTGAATAATGACTAATGGATAATGACTAAAAATACTACATTGGAAAATAATACTCCGTAACATATTATGCTTTTTAGCAAAAGTCATTATATTTTAGTGGTATTTACTTAAATTCTTCTAAATAAAATAAATAGGTTCGATGCAATTTACTAGGAATTTGTTTTGGAATCATAGGAGGCCCATTAATATGTAGCGAATTAATCATGCATGTACCACTATAATACCTTCAAAGCTCTTCTCTATAGATTCTTGAATAAGCTTGCTTAAATCCACATAGCTTCTTCCACAATCAAGCTCTCTCGCACCATCGAACGCTAAAGCGAATATCACGAACGGTCGTGGTTCAAAGTTCACGCTTGTCGTCCCGCTTCCCGGAGAGAAATACACGTGGCATGTGACGAATAGCGTCTCCTCGAATTCGGTGCCTCCTCTGGAGACTTTGGATGGCAAAGTCCGCACGGCTCCGCTTTTCGAATCATTCTTTTTGACGCACACCACAAGGTGTCGCCCGTTCATTGAAGCGGGGAGGCTCTGAACCGCCACCACCTCAACGCAGAACAGACAACTCGCCTTCTGCTTGCCGATGTGGGAGAGGGCCCGCATCGGCTTCCAGAAGCTGAAAATCCCCCTCTTTGTCTTCCTCTTCTCTGTCTCATCATCGTCGTCAACGAGCTTCTTCTCCCTAGACTGCCAGTAGGAGAACGACAAGTGTCTAGACCGGAGTTCCGAGGCCCGCGAGGTGATTGCACCATCACCTCTACCGGTTTTTCCTACAGGAAATTCTAAGCATGCAACCTTGCAGGTGTTGAAAGCAGGCGAGCGGTCGAGGGACGCGCTCAGTGCTTCCAGCTCCCGCAAGAGCTGTAAGCTATTGGAAGAACTTCTTGGGGCCGAGAAGTGTTCCATATTGCTCTCGATCGATCTAGAGATGAAAATTATTTATGCAATAAATAGTGAATAATAAAGAGCATGGCATTGAAGGCGAAATGAGGTACGAAAGGTTAAACGAGTGATAAATATAGGGTGGGAGGGAATTGTATCGCGTGCATGCATGCTTGGTGCTTTCTGAACCAATGGTTTTGTACGACATTAATATGTGAAGGATAAGGAAACAACAGACAACGTTTATATTTGGTTCTTTTTTTCTTTTTTTTCTTTTTTAATTATTATTGTTTTTTATTACTGTGATTTATTTATTGTCACCATCGCTCTCACTCTCTGTCACAATTAAATGTTGGTTAGCGGTTAGGTGCAAGAGATGCATGGCTTGACTTTTTACCTTTCGTTTGGTTTGAAGAGAAAGTTTGGAAATAGAAATGTTTGAACGATATTTTATCTTTGGTGAACAAGTGTTAGGAATTACTATTCTAGGAAAATATAACGAAGGAGTACGTTTTATATACGCCATTAATGAATCTTCTTCTTTATCTTTTGAAATCTTATCTTAAAAATCTAATTTAATTTCTCACTCGATGCCAAATAATTTTTACATTTAACTTTTGTAGTCAATTTTTTCAAATTTTTATTACAAATTATGAAAAAATACATTTAATTGTAACATATGTTGAATATAGTTGGTTCATATTATTAGAATATACACTCTTTGTGCTAAAAAATTCTTTTTATTTTTACTTTTCATTGGTCAGTGATGGGTGTATTTCACCCACGACCGGTCAAAGGAGAAGACCAATTAGTTGACCGGTCAATCTCGAAAGTCTTGGAAGGGAGACTTAAATCATCAGCAAATCGATATGTAATCGGCCCAAAGATGACCGGTATACTTCACGAAAGAGTATACCGGTCAAACTACTTTGTCACCCTATTTATTCCCTAACTTCGATGATTTCATCCCTCAGAGATTACCCGGTGTAGTTTCTAGGGTTGGAAAGTGTCGGTAGAAGAGAATTTAAAAGGGCTTAGCGTGTAGCGACCCATGTCAGTGGAGGATAGCTGGAGATGCCGAAGGAATGTTTCCAAGCCAAAACCCGACAAGGGAAGTAATTCCCCACACAAGGCGACAAGGCAGCTCGAGGACGAAACCAGTCACCTCGCACCACATCAGCAGCGTGCCCCCACGTGGGCGCACGTGGTCTTGTCCCCCTTAGCCTAGTATAAATACTCATGTAAACCTCAGAAAGAGGGATCCGAATTCACTCTCTCTAAACTTCCTTGTAAAAGCACCCGTGCATTCTCCGTTATAATATAAATTGGGCTACAGGTGTTCCACCTAAAGTCCTACCGGTCAATCTGCGTGTTTTTACCTTTCTTACTTTGCCAAATCAAGCAAACTATTCTAGACCCGGTCTAGTATTGTTTGACCGATCAAGTAATTTACACCATCATTTTTGGCGCCGACCGTGGGACCGTTAAGGTTTCTTTTCTTCTAAACACAAACCTACCCATAAAAACACCACTCAAAATGTCTTTAAGCCAATAAATCAATGCTACTTCCGCTCAGGTGCAAGCCACCGATGAGGGTACCAGCATCCCTGTGGCTGCTACCCTACCGGTCATTTCCGCCCCAGTGTTGCCTTTGGGTCTGAGCTCTGTCCCAACGCCTAGCGTGATCATCCCATTCACGACCCCCGTCCCTTCCGCTGGACCAAGGGTCACGTTCCCACCAAACATGACTCAGTTCATGAATGACCCAGCCAACCTACAGGCCATCTAGGGCTTTGGCCAGGTCATGGCCATGTGCCAACAGAATGTGGGGATGCCTTTTCTCCCTGGTATGTTCCTGTTCGCTCTTCCAGGCGCGGGAACCATGCCCCTACAAGCTCCAATGGCAGTGATGCCGTTCCAGACGCCGATGCCGCAGCCATCACCTTTCCAGCCGCAGCTGGTCAGCGCCATAGCCCCTGTCAACTTGACTGGCGCGCTTAACGCTGCAGGGCCGTCGCGTCCCCCGCAAGGTACGAATCCACAAGTCACCCCTGATGGTCATTGCGTCTCAGTTGAGAGTGATGACGGCGAGTGGGACATTCCGAGGGCCCACAAGAAGAAGAAGGGAAAAAACGTCCGGCCAGTAACTTCCCGGAACTCCGCCTTCGAAAGGCTAGGGGATAGGGAGGAAGGCCAGAGAAAGTCAGCCAAACAGAGGCTGGGGCAGAGCGTTGCCCATGTCAGCGCGTTCGCCCGGTTAGGCGAGGTGAGGGAGGCCGAGCCTGCCCGCACCCGGCGCTCCCGGTCTAACCGGCAGGAGCCAGCGAAGACGAGGGCCTCTCGTCAGGAAGAGGAAACAGAGAGCCAGCCTAGGTTACTGGTAGCGAGCCGGTTAACCATCCCAAATGATCGCGTCCAGCAGATGGAGGCAAAACTGGAAAGGCTGGAAAAGAAGGTTAGGGAAAAGAATGACCGGGACAAACCCCTGGCGGGGTCCCCGTTCACCACAAGGGTCCATCTGACGCTTTTCCCGCGAAAGGTCAAGATCGACGCCCCTAGATTCACCAGGAAGGAAGATCCGGAAATCCATCTGGACTCCTTCAACCAGAGTGCAACCATGAACGGTTGCACAGATGAAGAAAAATGCCTTCTTTTCTTCCAGACCTTGCGGAACCGAGCCACTGAATGGTTCAATAAGCTTCGCCCGGGAAGCATTGATTCGTTCAGTGATTTGGCCTCAAAATTCAAGGCCAAGTTCCAGGAAAACTGTACTAAGAGGAAAAAATTCACCTATCTTAGTACAGCCGGGCAGAGGGAGTCTGAGAACCTAACTCAGTTCCTCACCCGGTGGAAGGAAGAGGTAGAAAAGGTGGAAGAGATGGATGGCAAGACCGTCTTATCCCTCCTCTTGAATGGCTTGCGTGCCGGGGAACTTTACAAGGAGTTCTGCCGGAAACCCCTGGCCACGTACCAAGAGGCCTACCACACTGCATGGGAGTTTGCTGAGGCTGAAACCCAACTCCGGGCAAAGAAAGAAGCTGAGCATGGTTTCAAGCCCAAGCCGGTGCAAGTCAAGAAGGAAGAAACACTGGGATCCAGCCGGCCAAGGCACCACTATGACCCGGTCGTCCGTATGGTCAATACGGAAGAATGCCAAGAAATCCAGAAAGCACCGGTCATTCCTCAAGAAAACCCTATCGGTCAAACAGGACGGCAGTGGTCGGGCACCTATTGTTCGTACCACAGGTCAGATTCCCATAACACCTCCGAATGTAAGAGTGTTAAGGGAGTAATCCGGCAGATAATAGACAGTGGAGAACTGTGCAAGGATTACTTGCAGAAAGCCCAGGACAAGAGTCATCAATGGGTCAGACCAGCAGCCCAGAGAAATGACCGGGACAATGACTGGCGAAGGAATAACCGGCAGAGGGAGCAGCAGCCGGCCGTCGAAAAAGAACACATCGGCATGATCTTCGGCGGACCTGTTGGGGACTTGTCGTACGGTCCAAAACAAATTAAAAATTTATAAAATATCCTTAACTAACCCCCAAGATATAATCAAATAAAAACTATAGCTAGGGCAAGTAAGGGTCGATCCCACGGAGAAAGTTTGTACTTTTTAAAACCAAATTAGCATGCACACACGTTGTCACTAAACAAAACAAACTAACTACTAAACATATGATAAGACGTATAAAACTTATAAATAAAACTTATATAAACAAAGAACTTATAATATAACTTAAACACAACACAAAGGGGGGGTTTGAATAAAAAGTAAATATTTTTTTGATTTTTTATTTTTCTTATTTTTTTGGTTTTTTGATTAAATGGGGGAAAACAAGCTCTAAAGATAATCATCTACTCCAACAAAAGTAACCCAAGAAACACCACCAAGAACCCGAAACAAAATGAAAAAGAGAACAAACACAAATTGAACATTACACGTATAATAAGCACGTAGACAATATATTACGTAACTTACGCACTTAAGAATAGAAAAAATCAATCAAAGGCCGAGTCGATTCATTTCCTTNACCTTAGAACCCCAACTCTCTATTCAAGCATGAGAACATACTTCCACTATAGAAAAAGTTTATAAAAGAGAGAATCTATTATGCATTCAACTCTCATACATAATCTATTCACAAACCGCCAATACCTTATGTATTTTAATAAACTTTTTCTCCTAATGATGAGCACATTTCACAGATTTCCATGAACTTCTCAAACCAATGACGTTTTTTCTATTCACGTAGATGAACACAACATATTTTCAATAAATTGAGAATTGTTTTTGAGCTTAAACAACCTCAACTCAATGAAAATAACAAACAAACACTTGAAAACATAATAATCACTCAATAACGAATTCTAAGAAAAATGAATCAACTTATGGGGCTAAGAAGTCCAAAATCCTTAAAATCAACGAACACAAGGCACGATAAAGAATCACGTATGAATTCGGAGTTCATTTAACTACCTTATGGAGCTAAAATAGCTTCAACAAAAACCGAATTCCACATACCAACCTACTTATGAAATCAAATTATGTAATTCAACCAATTCAACAACAATTTGCTCAATAATTGAAGAAAAACTAGTTTGAATCAATTCTCATTCATAAGGGATTTAATATAAACATAAAAAAACCCATAAAAGAACACCAACCATTTTTAGAATTTTTTGAAATTCACACAAAGTAAAAAAAAGTGTAAATTAGAATTGAAAAACAACTTTTACAAAGAAATTGGAGAAGAAAAAGAAATTGACAAATAAGAGTTACCAATTGTTGAAGAAGATGAACAAATTGAGTAAACTAGAGCTGCTGCCCACCGGAGCTGGAGCTGCTGCGCGTCTGCCGGCCATTCGTCGCGCCGCCTGCCACCATCGACGGCGACCACCATAGCAGCGGCCAAGCCGCTGCTTTATTCTTGTTTTATTCTTTGTGTGAATTCCCCCCTTCATATGAAGCTTTAATCATCATCAATTTATAGCAAGAGGATTGTTTACCGTTGTAGATTTGAGTGAGTAGAGAGTGCCGTTGCTATTGATTGAGGCGAAACTGACGGAGGAGCGTTGAAGAAGCTGAGCGCTGGTTTATCGCGAAGAAGAAGAAGTCGTAGACTTCAATTCTCCGTTCTTTTTTTCTTTCTTGCGTGAAGACAAAGTGAGATGATTGGTGGGCTGATTCTCTATTATGTTTGTTCTGGGCTTTAGCCCAAAATCAATCTCTTCTTTTCAAACTTGAACTTCAATTCGGCCTTTTGCTGTAATTTTCTCCAAAAATAAGATATCTGATAATTTGGGTTAGGAAAAATATAATAAAAATAATATAATGTAAAAATGATTAAAAAGCTAATATTTTTGAAAGAAAATAAAAAGAATTTAAAAATAAGAATTAAAATAAAACTAAGCTAAAACAACTAAAAATTAAAGACTAAAAATATTAAAAATGCCTAAAATTAAATAAAAAGTACTAACCCAAAAACGACTTATCAAATACCCCCACACTTAAGACTTGAACGTCCTCGTTCAAAAGACCAAAAAGAAACCATTTCAATTGCAATCATCATCAAGAAAAACAAAATGCACTGTATACACTCACACTTAAGACTTTATGCCCAAAACTTTTTTAAAAACAAAGTGAGCTACAAATCCTATAAAAATATAGAACTAAATAATGGATTATTTGGGTTCTAAAAAAAATGCTCTAAAGTTGCCACAAAAAAGTTTTCTAAGGGAATCCTACGGTCTAAACGGCTTAATGGCAACGGTAGCAAAAAAAAGCCTAAAAAATAAAAAAAAAACTTTTTAAAAAAATAAAATGTTTCTAAAACTTGTTTCTTTCAAAAAATGATTAAAACAACATCTAAATAGTATGTGGATGGCCAGTTCTAGAAAAAAAACTAAGGAAACCTAAAAGGATTCAAACTTAAAGGTCATTTACTGAGAAAATGGGCATCAAGACTCAAAGGTGGGGTTGTAAAAGAAACATTTGTCAACTTTCACAATAAAGCTCAAGAAAAAACGATGAGGTTTTTGGGTCAATTTTGAAAACAATGCTCTAAATAAGAAGATATGCAATTAAGAATGAAAAATATTTGGACCCAAGACCTATTTTGAAAAGAAAAAATTTGCCCCAAAATATGATTTCCCAAATAATAAGATAATCGTGAGAAACTCCCCCCACACTTAAAATGTGCATAATCCTCAATGCATCTATATGGTATGCAAACGACAATATTAAGCAAGCACGGACTTAGCAAAGAGAGAAGGGGAAAGGAAAATGCAACTAAAAAACAAAGTATACGCAACATCAACTCATCACTTTTCCCTCCTTAAAGTGCTCGATGGACCTAAAAACTGCAAAACATGACTAAGACCAAGTCTTTTAGTATTGACGAGATAAAAAATCAGATTTAAAGAAATGCAGATTTCAAGCTTCAAGTCAAGTTCCTGAGAACAGATTCTAGCACTCTTTTGCATTTTCAAAGCAGAATATTGTATATGAGAAGGTTAGTTATGTCATGCTCGTGCAGAGCAGCTCATATGCATCTATTAAACTCTAAAATCAGATTGATCACTAAGAAAAGATTGCAGATTTTTTCTATTTCAGCACCTTTAAGCTGTAAAAAGTGTAAAATTTGCATTTTGCACTCAAAAAATCAGCTTACAAGTCCAAAAATAACTTTTCAAAATGCAGAACTTTTCATTAGTATCCAAAAATCAGCTGTAAACAATGCGCATGCCTCAACTTTCAGCTTAAATATGACCATATTATAACACCCGAGAGGTCAGATTTTCCCATTAGTGCCCAAAATTCAGCCTTAAAAGTGCAGAATTTTCAATTTTCAGCCCATGAAAGATCAAATATAAACACCCAAGGCTTAAGAAAACTGAAACTTAAATAAAATACCAACACCCGAAAAGAATGACCGGGAGAAAGAATGACCGGGACAAACCCCTGGCGGGGTCCCCGTTCACCACAAGGGTCCATCTGACGCCTTTCCCGCAAAAGGTCAAGATCGACGCCCCTAGATTCACCAGGAAGGAAGATCCAGAAATCCATCTGGACTCCTTCAACCAGAGTGCAACCATGAACGGTTGCACAGATGAGGAAAAGTGCCTTCTTTTTTTCCAGACCTTGCGGAACCGAGCCACTGAATGGTTCAATAAGCTTCGCCCGGGAAGCATTGATTCGTTCAGTGATTTAGCCTCAAAATTCAAGGCCAAGTTCCAGGAAAACTGTACTAAGAGGAAAAAATTCACCTATCTTAGTACAGCCGGGCAGAGGGAGTCTGAGAACCTAACTCAGTTCCTCACCCGGTGGAAGGAAGAGGTAGACAAGGTGGAAGAGATGGATGACAAGACCGTCTTATCTCTCCTCTTGAATGGCTTGCGTGCCGGGGAACTATACAAGGAGTTCTGCCGGAAACCCCCGGCCACGTACCAAGAGGCCTACCACACTGCATGGGAGTTTGCTGAGGCTGAAACCCAACTCCAGGCAAAGAAAGAAGCTGAGCATGGTTTCAAGCCCAAGCCGGTGCAAGACAAGAAGGAAGAAACACTGGGATCCAGCCGGCCAAGGCACCACTATGACCCGGTCGTCCGTATGGTCAATACGGAAGAATGCCAAGAAATCCGGAAAGCACCGGTCATTCCTCCAGAAAACCCTACCAGTCAAACAGGACGGCAGTGGTCGGGCACCTATTGTTCGTACCACAGGTCAGATTCCCATAACACCTCCGAATGTAAGAGTGTTAAGGGAGTAATCCGGCAGATAATAGACAGTGGAGAACTGGGCAAGGATTACTTGCAGAAAGCCCAGGACAAGAGTCATCAATGGGTCAGACCAGCAGCCGAGGGAAATGACTGGGACAATGACCGGCGAAGGAATAACCGGTAGAGGGAGCAGCAGCCGGCCGTCAAAAAAGAACACATCAGCATGATCTTCGGCGGACCTGAGGGTGGAGATTCAGCCGCGCAACGGAAGAACTGGGTCCGGAGCATTTACGTTGGTGAGGTAAGCGCTGAACCGACCAGGCGTAAAACATACTAGGAGGGAGCCGATCGTCTTTAGTGACCGGGATCTCCCTCCTACCGGTGAAGATCACAATGATCCATTGGTCATCACCATGGACATTAATGGGGTGGATGTCGCCCGGGTACTTGTTGACACCGGCAGCAGTGTCAACATCTTATACCTGGAGACTTTCCAAAAACTCAGGTTGTGTCGGACACAACTTGAACCCCTGAAGACTCCTCTACCGGTCGAACTAGGATCGGGTGAAAAAACCGTATGGAAGAAGATGCGGTTCATAGTTGTGGACATCAAATGCGTCCACAACGCAATCCTTGGAAGGCCGGGCATCAATAAGGTCGGGGCGGTGATTTCCATGCCTCACCTGTGCATGAAGTTCCACACTCCAGGTGGTGTGGGTGAAGTGAAAGGCGACCAGAGGAATGCCCGGGAGTGCTATGCCCGGGTAGTCAAGAAGATGACCAAGGGGGTCAATGTCATCTCCCAAGAGATCACAAAGGGGGAGACCCGGGAGAAATTGGAGCCCGAGGCCGAGACGGTGGAAATCGAACTTCACCCGGGTGATTCTTCGAGGATGGTCAGAATTGGAGCAAATCTCGCCGAAGATCTCAAGGCAGAGATTACACGGGTCCTCCAAGAATACGCGGGCATATTCGCATGGAGCGTGGCGGATATGCCCGGAATAGATCGCTCTGTCATCTGCCACCGGTTGGCCGTGAGGGAAGGAAGTTGACCGGTACGTTAGAAGAAGCGGTACCTGGCCAGTGACCGGCGAGACTTTGTCAAGAAGGAAGTGAAGGACCTCCTCAGTGTTGGTCACGTCCGGGAAGTCAAATACCCGGATTTGCTGGCCAACGTTGTCCTTGCTCCCAAGGGCGACAGGTGGAGAATGTGTGTGGATTATACGGACTTGAACAAGGCTTTTCCGATGGATTCATACCCCCTTCCCAGTCCAGATCAAATGGTGGACGAAACTGCGGGGTGCGAACTCCTAAGTTTTATTGATGCCTTCAAGGGTTACCACCAAATCTACATGGCCAAGGAAGATGAAGAGAAGACGTCTTTCCTCACACCCGAAGGAACCTACTGCTACCGGGTAATGGCGTTTGGCTTGAAGAACTCAGGAGCAACCTACCAGCGCATGGTGAACAAACTCTTCAAGCCACTACTGGGAAAGACCATGGAAGCATACGTCGACGACATGCTGATCAAAAGCCAGGTATCTCTCAACCACCCGGCTGATATGCGAGCCACATTCGATATCATGGCAAGGTACAACCTCCGGTTAAATCCCAAGAAGTGCGTCTTCGCGGTTCGCACCGGGAAGTTCCTGGGATTCATGGTGACCAAGAGAGGAATAGAGCCCAACCCAGAAAAAATCCGGGCCATCACTGAAATGCAAGTCCCTACCTCCGTTAGGGATGTCCAAAAGTTGACCGGTCGTCTAGCGGCCCTCAGCCGGTTCCTTTCCCGGTCAGCTGAGAGATCACTGCCCTTCTTCAAAGTTCTAAAGAAGGCCAACACATTTGCATGGGACGAAGAATGCTAGAGGGCATTTGAGGAGCTGAAAGAGTACCTAGCGTCGGATATTGTATTGTCTAAACCCGAACCGGGTGAAACTCTGTATCTGTACCTGGGAATTTCCCCAAATGCTATAAGCTCCATTTTAATAAGAGATGATGGGGCACAAAAGCCCATTTATTATGTGAGCAAAGCACTAAACGGAGCTGAGAGTAGGTATACGGCGATGGAAAAGACAGCCTATGCACTTTTCATCTCCGCGAAAAAGTTAACATCCTACTTCCAAGCTCACCCGGTGGAAGTCTTGACTGACCAACCGCTGGGTACAGTGTTGCGAAATTCAACATCCTCCGGGAGGATGATGAAGTGGGCAATGATGTTAACTCAGTTCAATATTGAGTACCGGCCAAGGTCAGCAATCAAGGGACAAGCCCTTGCAGACTTCCTGGTAGAAATGACCGGTCCGACTCCAGACCTACCGGTCAACAAGCCCACTGAGCAATGGTGGGAGATGGCAGTTGATGGGGCATCCGGTCCTAGAGGATACGGGGGTGGTATCGTGTTCACCACCCAGAAGGGTTCAAGATCTACCATGCAATCGTCTTCAACTTCAAGCTGACAAACAACGAGGCGGAATATGAAGCACTGGCTGGAGGGCTCAGACTTGCCCAAGCCCTCAGGATCAACCGGGTCAGTATTAAATCTGATTCTAGCTTGATTGTTGGGCAAGTGACCGGTAACATGGAAGCAAGAGAAGGATGAATGGCGCAATACAAGGACCTTGTACTTGCCCTGTTGAAAGGCTTCGAAGAGTTCAAGATCGCCTAAATACCCCGGGCAAAGAACGCGGACGCAGACCTTCTTTCTAAGTTGACGCAGTATGCCCCCGAGCATGTTTCAAACTTGCCCGGGTAGAGATCCTTGATCGTGCAAGCATCGAGAAACTGAAGTCGCCGCTATAATAGCCGGAAGCCAATCTCACCGGTCAAACCTGGTCGGGGCGGACGACCATTGGATGTATGATCTGATGGAATATTTGATGGATGGGAGCTTGCCAGAACAAGATGACCGGGCAAGAAAAGTGAAGCTCAGGGCACCCCGATTCCAGGTTCTTGATGGAAAGCTGTATAAAAGGGCATTTGGGGGGCCACTCCTGAGATGTCTAACCAACCGGGAGGCTGAGCGAGTCATAGCGGAGGTCCACAAAGGCGTATGCGCGGCGCATCAAATGTCCCGTACACTTTCCCAGCGCATCATCTTATTGGGGTATTACTGGCCAACAATTGTCCAGGATTGTGAAAGGTATGTTCAGAAATGCAGAACATGCCAAGTGTTCTACAAGTATCCCGATAGACCGGCGACCTACTATCACCCCGTATCGAATGTCATCCCATTCACTAGGTTCGGAGTTGATATCATTGGAGCATTCCCAGTCGCCCAAGGAGGGAAGAAGTTCGTAATCGTAGCCATCGATTACTTCACCAAATGGATCGAGGTCGAAGCGTTGGCCAACATTACCACGCAACAATGCAAGAAATTCATTTGGAAGAACATCATCACGAGGTTTGGAGCGCCCATGAACCTCATCACCGGCAACAGCCCACAATTCCGAAATCCAAGATTCACCGAATACTTGGAGGGCTTCGGAATTAAGCACAATCGTTCTTCGGTGGCATACCCCCAAGGAAATGGCCAAGTTGAAAACGCCAACCGAACGATCGTGGATGGTCTAAAGAAACGGCTGGGAGAGGCAGGAAACAAGTGGCTAGAAGAGCTCCCACACATCATATGGGCACTCCGAGTAACACCCAGGAGGGCTCATGGGGAAACTCCATTCTCCCTAACCTATGGGTGTGAAGCAAGGCTGCCCATCGAAGCTGAATTCCCAACGTTCCGGGAATCAAATTATCAACCCCAACAAAATGAAGAAGACCATCTAGCCGAGCTCAACTTGGTCGAGGAACGAAGGATGGCGGCGGAGGTGAGAATGAGTACATACCAACAAGTTGTGAAGAAGTACCATGACAACAAGGTTGGGCCGCGATACTTCCAAGTTGGAGATGAAGTCCTACGAGGAAGAGAAGCAAGTAAACCGGGCGATGGAGGAAAGCTGGCAAAAAACTAGGAAGGCCCATACAGGGTTAGAGCCATCATTCGCCCAGGAACCTACCGGTTAGAAACTTTAGATGGTGTACCGGTAGAAAGAACTTGGAATTCCGACCATCTTTGCAAGTTCTACAAATGATTGTAACACTAGGCAAGGCCTACTTCTATTAAATAAAGGAAGTTCAGTACTCTACTTAGTAGCGGCGGAATTGATAGGTCGAACCTATCCTAGGAGGGCTTCCCGGGTGGATCGAATCCACTTGGATAAGCCAACTGAGACACAGGCCCGGACCTGGCACACTGGTTACTACACCGGTCTTGCTCAGTATAATAGAAAAAATAATAAAACCTGGAAGAGGGGCCCCGGAAGAGGGGTATGCCTGCAAGAGGGCTGAACCTGGAAGAAGGTTCGAACCGTACTTACACGGGCCCATGAGGTTTGACCGGTATCGGGGAATCAGCCGGTACCGTCAAATTGATTGGGGACTAAAAGATGCCCATTAAAAGAAATAGAAAGGGATCGTCCACCGTGGCGCATCCTATTTCCCCCTTCTCAGGGAAGACTTGAACAGGGGGGTGAGCTAAGGCCTTCCCGGGATGGTAGAAATCAAAGGGCCACTAAAAGATTTAATCACCCGGAAGAGGGGGCCCTGGAAGAAGGGTGCATTTGGACCTTGGAGAGGGTCCGAAACCATTCGACATGGTTAAATCTCCAGTATTCTTACCGGTTAAGAATACTTCAAGAACTTACTAGGTTACAGGTGCTTCCATCTACAACTTACCGGTGACACACAAAAAAAAAGAATACCCCGGTTGGGTATTGATACAACGGAACTTCAAAAGTTCTACAAGGCAAAGTAGTTTACCGGCCACACCGTGGAGTAGGAACCTACCGGTCAAACGGTACTTTATCGAAAAGCCAAAATGAAGTTTAGCCGGTCAAACTTTTTTAAGTTGACCATCAAGATGAAGACATTCAAGAGTGAAAGTTAGAGTTTAACCGGTCAGGTTTATTCAAGTGATCTTCAAGAGAAATACATCAAAGAGCGAAAGTTCAAGTTCTACTCGCGGATGTTTATCAAATGCAGAGCGTACCAGTTAAAGTAAGATAACAGAAACGAAGGCACGCAAGAAACAATCAAGGGAGAAAAAGTGACCGAGGAGAAAAGTAAAACATGACATTCGAATTGCAAAGATTCAAAATATTGTGTTTTACAGATACACCGGGCATACCCGGGGAAATTATAAGTTGATAGAGTTTTTACAACGAGAAACAACCGGTCTCAGCCGGGGAGTTCATTCAAGGGGGAATGGGGGAGTTGGATCTTCTTCCGGAATTGGTGTCAGGCCGTAGGATGCAGCGCTGAAGTCCGGATCTCTTCTGAGCAATACCCGGTGAGAGGCGATCCGGTCCTTCTTTTGACCGCTCTTGAATCCGAAGGATCCAATCGCGGTAATCATCTTCCTTCCTTCAGGCTCCCGGTACAGAAGCCTGAAGGACTCCATCGTGGTCTCTGGAGTCGCCGTCATCACCCGGGCAGCTTCAGCTTTATTCTCTTCCACCCAAGCAGCTGCAAGCCCGGGGAAGTCCCCGTCCTTCTTCGCCATCTCTTGCTTCACCTCGGAGACCTTGTCCATCAGCCGGCCGTTCTCCTCCTTCAGTTGGGAGATTTCGGCCTTCATAGACCCGGCCAGCCCAGACAGCCTGGTCAGCTCGTCAGCTTGGCTCTTCAAGATGAGAGCCATCTCCTCTTTCTCCTTCTTCAGCCGGGCAAGTTCCAAAGGAGAGCCTAATCCCAGCCGGTCAGCTGTAAGGGGTCCAATTTCTCCAACCTGCAGCATGCACGAACCAACCGGTTAAACTTCCGGGAAAAGTAGGGATCTAACGTACCGGGAAGGGAATTCAACTTACCTCCCTCAGCCTCAGTCCAAGGTTGACGAAGGCCTCCTCGATGGTTTGTGAGCCCATGTCAGAGTCAGCCCTTTGCCTCTTCTTGGCGAAAGAAGGGTGTGTGGTGGCCACCTTCTTTATCCACTGGCCGATCTTCTCCTTGCCCTTCTCTTTCGACCGGTCATCTTCTGGCTCATCCAGATCATGGACTTCCACGGTCTCTTGTTCGACCGTGAAAGTTTTGGCAGTCCCGGCTTGGGAACCCCCGGCCTCTCCCGCTGGTTGGTCATCAGGGATGGCAAACTCCTCGAACTCCATATCTGCAAAAGAAGCTAGAATCGTTAAGTACAAGAAACGACACCGGTCAAAGCGCCAATCACAAGGAGAATAAAAAAAATACCTGGGTGGTTCTGGCCCTCAGCCTCTGCAGTGTTGCCCGGGGAGGGTACCCCGCGCCCCGCTGCTTTATGGGCCTGGGAGGTACCCTCACCACCCGGTTCAACCCTCCAAACCCAGCTGCCGTAGTAAAAGACCCTCCCGGTGAGAGGATCCCCGCGCATGAGAACCTCAAGACTCGCTTCCAAGTCAGGAGTGGAGGCCGGTGCAGCGTATTCTTGATCGAGCAGATGGTCGTTCCATTTCAGACCGGCCAGGGGAGTGACGAAGGGGGAAACTCGATGAAATTTTTTTTTTCCTTCCATCCCCGGTTACTCTGGGGGACTTCGGAAATAAATTTCCTACCGGTACGACCTTTGAAGTATACGAAACCTTCGCAGCCAGTTCCGCCCGGTAGGACTTCGAAACAAAAAAGGAAAAGACGCAGGGAAGGATTTATTTTGAGGTGGGAACAAATATTTACAAAGGAATGAAGATACCGGTGGGCGTTAGGGGTTATTTGGCCGGGCAAAATCCTAAACGCATGGCAAACTTCAGTAAGGAGGGGGCGAAGGGGAAAAACGATGCCCGCGTCCAGTGATATGGTGTGAAACCCTATCCTATCCTCCCGGTGGGGTTCAACAATGTTGGGCCAGTCATGTTCATACAAAAGGGTATACCCATCCGGGAGCCTCCTACGGATTTTGTTCAAAGTGATTTTGGATACGTGGGAAGGAATGTCAAAGACGTAGAAGGTGGGGAGCGGAAAGTAACCGGCGGCATGAAGCCGCTCCTCCCACGCGTCCCGGGTTTCGTTTTCAGGGTCATAGGGACCCGGTTCGTCATCAACCGGCTCATCCCTCCCCATAAAAACCTCAGCGGGCATCTGATTAACAGGTTGCGGGTCGGGGACAGAGGAGTTGGGAGTCTGACCGGGCATGGAGTCAGGAGAAGAAGACCCGGTCGAGGAGGAGGAGTTGGAGTCCTCAGAGGAGCAGTCCTCTAAGGAAGAAATCCTATGGCTATCTAAAGAAGACATGACCGGGAAACTAATTAGAGGGAAGGGGAAACTTACTTGACTCGGAGGGCTGGATAACGAGAGAGAGGAACTTGACCGGTGAAAGCTCTGGAATGCGAAGTGCGAAAAGTGAGAAGTGAAGAGGGTTGGAGGCCTTTATATAGGAGGAGGGAAGCTGAATCAGACGACGTGGCTTTTTAGGGTTGCGCCGCGTCAGGCGGCACAATGATGACCCACTGGCAAGCGAAACGACGGGTCTGCAGCCGACTAATTGCAACGGTTGATGCGCAACACGTGGCAAAAATCAAAGTTTGAAATTCAAATTTCAAAAATTTTAGGCGGGAAGAGCCAAAATTTCAAAATTGGAGTCCTATTTCAGATTTTTTACTTCCCGCTCATGACAAATTGCATGACCGAGAAGTGGAGGGCTTATTGATGGGTGTATTCCACCCACGACCAGTCAAAGGAGAAGACCAATTAGTTGACCGATCAATCTCAAAAGTCTTGGAAGGGAGACTTAAATCATCAGCAAATCGATATGTAATCGGCCCAAAGATGACCGGTATACTTCACGAAAGAGTATACCGGTCAAACTACTTTGTCACCCTATTTATTCCCTAACTTCGATGATTTCATCCCTCGGAGATTACCCGGTGTAGTTTCTAGGGTTGGAAAGTGTCGGCAGAAGAGAATCTAAAAGGGCTTGGCGTGTAGCGACCCATGTCAGTGGAGGATAGCTGGAGATGCCGAAGGAATGTTTCCAAGCCAGAACGCGACAAGGGAAGTAGTTCCCCACACAAGGCGACAAGGCAGCTCGAGGACGAAACCAGTCACCTCGCACCACATCAGCAGCGTGCCCCTACGTGGGCGCACGTGGTCTTGTCCCCCTTAGCCTAGTATAAATACTCATGTAAACCTCAGAATGAGGGATCCGAATTCACTCTCTCTAAACTTCCTTGTAAAAGCACCCGTGCATTCTCCGTTATAATATAAATTGGGCTACAGGTGTTCCACCTAAAGTCCTACCGGTCAATCTGCGTGTTTTTACCTTTCTTACTTTTTCAAATCAAGCAAACTATTCTAGACCCGGTCTAGTATAGTTTGACCGGTCAAGTAATTTACACCATCAGTCAGAAAAAAATTTCACTTACAATTAAAATCTTCTATATACCTATTCATTGTTTTGGAACAATGTTAATTGCGTTAAGTGAACAGTTAAAATACAGACATGTATTTTTTCAATCTAATATACCATATTCACCTTAACTTATTCTCTCCCTCATCTTTCTCACGTCTTAGTAAGCCTAATCATTGCCCTTATTTTCCATACCCTTTTTTAAAAAAATTCAGATTTCAAACTTCATAAATCTTTTTAATGTTTAATACCAAGTTTGTTCATATTATTTTAATTTGATTCAATTAAAAAAGATGAAGAACCCCGTATAAAAAGACGCACCTGAGAAACACTGATGATGAAGCAATCACGGAGTAACGACGTAAATAATAGACAAATGTGGGAGTAACTGTGTAAATAAACAAATTTGAGAGTATTTATGTAAAATCTATAATTTTTGGGAGTGTTTTTGTGAATTCTGCCCAATTTAAATTGAGACAAAAGAAGTAGTTTTGATAGATCTAGTTTTATACTCGGTAACATTTATTAAAGTGTCGCATTCGTGATTATGGAAAATTATAAGTATAGATATGTTTGGGACGTTTGGCAAAAGTTTCAATGTTTAGTTATAAATTTTGAAAACATTATGTTATGTTTAGTTATAAATTTTGAAAACATTATGTTATGACAATGTTTCTTTTTTAATTTTTCGTGTAAATCTAAAGTTTTAAAAAATTATTCAAAAGTGTACTACTTATTGAAAACTTTATTTTCAAACAAAAGGTTTATTAGGGAATAATTTTCAATTGAAGTACGTTCATATGTACAAGTGTTTACCACAGGGCAATAATAGTATGGTCATTTATTCTAGCTGCACCGTACCTTATCATGTTGTCACCCAATCGGCCAAACATATGCTAAAATATGCGGGAGCGTATAAGGTCCATTATCAAGGGCTAGGCCCAAAGCCCCATTCCAAAGGGCTAGATGCATATACATCCTGCTCTGAAAAAGAGACCGTTCACATGACATTCTCTAGTAATATCATGACTCATGAGATAATCCAGAAATGCTCTGATGTCCTATTTATAAAATTGGCGTTTCCTACCTCTCCGGTACACCCCATCATCCCGCTCCACCCGTACACACCCCTCACCCCCTTCAATTGCACCCCATAAGTTAATTTTAATTTTGGAGTCAAAATATGACTCCAAAGTCAAAATTAACTTGTGGGGTGCAATTGAAGGGGGTATGGTTGTGTTCGGGTCGGGGCGGACCGGTGTGGGGGGGTTAAGGGGGTTAGAAACGGTCAATTTTACGAACGGGGCACCGGAGCACCCCTGGGTCATCCCATGACATGAGGTTCCAATGTCATGGGAACCCCACCGCTATAATAATACATGTGTTTAAATTTTAGTACACCTTTCGTCTCACAAAACTTTTTTAGTTTTGACTTTTATAGGATTTAAAGGTAGTGTATTTTAGTGTTGACTTTTAAAAATGTCCTTGGATGATATGAATAAAAGTAGATGTGATGGATAGATTAATAGTGAAAAGGTGTGATGGGATAAGTTGGTTAAGAATTAATAGGGGTAAAAGTGACTTTTTAATAGAAATGAAAAAGATTTTTTGGGATGGATGAAAAAAAGAAAACAGAAAGATTTTGTGAGACAGAGGGAGTATCATTTTTCTTAAACCCAATGAATATAATATATACACGGTGTTTTAATTTTATGTCACACAACAAATCGAAGAGAATAAGGCAATAATTTGTTCAAAGAATTTGAAAAGAAAAGAAAACAAAATAGGGTGGAAAATAATTTTCATCATTATTTGTTAGAGAAAAAAAGAAAATGAGGAAAAAAACATACTAAGTGGATAAAGAAGAAATTTTTTTTAGGGAATTTCTTCCATGCCTTTGCTAATGCTCAAGTAAATTCTTGTCATGTGGACTTTTTAATCATGTAAATAAATAAAATACTCCACATCATTTTAAATTTTAAAAATTACATAATAACCCCATTTTTCCTTTTTCTTATCTAAGGGTCTTTTCTTTTGAATGAAAATTTATTTCCAATATTTTTCAATTCTCTCCACTTTTTTCAACCACTTCAAATTTATTTCAATAACAACTTAAAAAATTTATTTAATTTTATTTTTTAATAATAATCGTGTTACATTCATTATAATTATAATTATTACTATTACTACTATTGTCATTATCGTCATCACAATTGTAATTAAAATAAAATAAAGAATTGAAGTAATAACACAGTTTTCATATATAAAATATTTCTTTTTGTCCCAAAAACATATATCGATTATTAGTTATCATTATAGAGTCAACAAAAAATATTAAAATATTAAATGAATTAATTTATTAAAAAGGACATTCCTCTTTGTAATTTTGTAATAATCCATAATTTCGTTTATTTGTTGATTGAGATAATGTCAGATTATTTATGCCAGTTTTTGGTTTAAATAAGATTAATGAAAAATATTAGTACACGGTTATTGGCATTGAAATTAAGGAATAAGAAATAAATGGTTTAAGATATATATGAAATTAAGCAATAAACATGTATACTAATGATATTGATTTAAAGAGTTTAAGAAAAGAGTAATATTAAGTATAAGTAAACATATAATCTGGGGTAATACACATAGTATGAAATAAAAATGGCTTAACATATAAAAAAAATAAAAAAAATAATTAAAATAAATAAAGGAAAATTTATTTTAATAAAAATATTAACTTTCAAAAATATATTACTCATTTCAAACTTTTTTATTTTTAAAAATTTTAATTTTTTCCTTGAATTTTCTTCAAGCCGTTTTCAACTCCTTCCAATTTTTTTCAATTTCTTATAATTATATATATATATATATATATATATATATATATATATATATATATGTATGTATGTATATATGTATATATATGTGTATATATATATATACATATATACTCCTATATGTATGTATGTATGTATGTATGTATGTATGTATGTATGTATGTATGTATGTATGTAATTTTTAAGTTTTGAAAAAACTATTTTCAAACAGCTAATTTTACCAAACGTTTTTAACGATAATCCAACACCACCAGCCGGTCGAACCATCTAAACTTAACAGCTATTCAGAACTGCTGACACAAACAACCAATAGCCAACTAACAACATCCAAAGAATGCCAATGTACACTGTTAGAACGTCACAAAGCAAACTCTTATTTCGAAAATAAAAGCATGGAATTCATATTTTAGGGACAATAGTTATATTTTACATTTATTTGGGGTGATTTATTATTATTAGTATTTTATTAGTATTAATTTTTTTTGTTAGAAATTTAAGAATTGGATGTTGTACGTAATAAAGAAGAAGAAATTAGAAAATATAGGAAGAAGTCAGAATAAATTGGAAAAATTTTTGGAATGAGGTGAAAACAACTGGAAGAAAATTTTGGAACCGAATTAAAATTTTGAAAAAATTAAAAGAAATTTTGAAATGAGTAATATATTTTTGAAATTTAATATTTTTATTAAAATAATTTGTCCTTTATTTATTTTAATCTTTTTTTATTTTTTTTATATATTAAACCATTTTTATTTCATACCATGTACATATATTATAGTACCCCAGATTATATTTTTACTCATACTTAATATTACTTTTTTTCTTGAACTCTTTAAATCAATATCATTAGTATATATTTTTATTTCTTAATTTCATATATATTGTAAACTATTTATATCTTATTCCTTAATTTCAATTCCAATAATCCATGTACTAATATTTTTTCATTAATCTTATTTAAACCAAAAATGGGCATAAATAATCTGACATTATCTCAATCAACAAATAAACGAAATTATGGATTATTACAAAATTACAAAGAGGAATTTCCTTTTTAATAAATTAATTCATTTAACATTTTAATATTTTTTGTTGACTCTATAATGATAACTAATACTCCATATATTTTTGTGACAAAAGAAATATTTTTTATATGAAAATTGTGTTATTACTTCAGTTCTTTATTGTATTTTAATTACAATGGTGATGACGATAATGACAAATGTATGAATAGTAATAATTATAATTATAATGAATGTAATAGAAATATTATTAAAAATAAAAATAAATAAATTTTTTAAGTTGTTATTAGAATAAACTTGAAGTGGTTTAAAAAAACAGAAAAGAATTGAAAAGGTATGAAATAAATTTTCATTCAAAAGAAAAGATCCTTAGATAAGTAAAAGGGAAAAAGAAATGGGGTCATTATATAATTTTTAAAAGTTAAAATGATATGGAGTGTTATTTATTTATATGATTAAAAAGTCCACATGTCAAGAATTCACTAGAGGGGCATCCATGCCCCTTCATTAGCGAAGGCATGGAAGAAATTCCCTTTTTTATTATTTTGGTGAGGGAAATAAGTGAAAACTACTCTGTATTTTTTTTTCCTTCCAAATTCTTTGAACCAAATATACTGCTAAAGATTTTAAATTAAACCATGAGACAGGTTATATCGGAGACCCCTACATTGTGGGAATCAAAGTTAACGGTTGATAAAGAACTAATTGTAAATTTGTAACAGAACATTTCGTTGGACAAACAATATTCATGGAATCAATAGTCATTAAAACTCCTAATGTTTCGCATTCTTAGCCTTTAATAACGTTGTAGTACAATAGTCCTAATCCACCATTTGTCTTAGCTAGAGAAGAAGCAGCTAATTAAACTTTTCCAAATAAAATTGCGATACAAACCCTAATTAGGAAAAAAATGGGGAGTCAGCAGCAGCTAAGGAAGGAGGTGACAAAAGAAGAAGCCTCGTCAGGATTATTATTGCCCATGCAGAGCAGCTCTTACGTTAAATACACCGATTTGGAGGAGTACAAACTCCATGCTTACGTCCGTGGTGCCGAAGATCGCGGCGGCCTTCAGCCACGGCCGGTTTCCGGCAATGGCGGCGCCTGCCCACCAATGATCGACGGCGCCTCTGCCATCTCCGGCCAGAAGATTGCCGCAGCAATTGAGAAGAAACTCGCGTGATTCTTAATTACCTAGCTCCCATAAACAAATATTTTCTCTGTCCCATAAAGATATTCTCATTTTGACTTTTAAAAAAATTTAAAGAAGAGATATTTTTATGTTCAATTTTCAAAATATCCATAGATAAAAGTATGATGCGATGAGTAGATAATTAGTAAAAAGATATTATGTGATATGTAGAATAATAATTAGTACTGATAAAACTGATTTTTTAATAGAAAGAGGAAAGACTTTGTAGAACTCAAAAAAAAAGGTCTTTTTGGAAAGGGGAGAACAAAATGATGAACCTATCCCATGTGGCCATCCAATAATTTTATTTTATTTTGTGTGCACATTTTTTTCTCTCCTTCGTACGTAGTACGGAGTATAAATTTTGCCCCGTTTGACATCAGTGTAGAGGTTAGCGTTAGCATTTTGGAAAAGCCATCCGACGATAACCTTTAGCGTTAGTGTTTTCAGAATTAATCTATACCATTAAAATTTTATCTAAAATGCTAATGCTTATCTAAAACGTTGTTCCCAAACAAGGCTTTTGTTTGATTTTGTCGTAGCAAGAGTCTACACATTAACAACCACCCTTATAAGTTATAAGGGCTTGTTTGGTGAGTTTTGGAAATTATATTAGTACGTGCATTATATGCTCTGATCTCAACAAAATCAATAAGGGCAACATCCCCCTATTTACAACAGCAGCAGGAAATTTATCCCGCCTAAAAGTTTGGGCCGGATACTGTAACAGTGGGCCGAAAATTTTCTAAAGCAAATCTAATTATTGGGCTGCGTTATTCTTTGTTGGAATATACTTAATATTTCCAGTTTAAAATTTTAGTACGATTCTTTCAGTTTCAAACATTAAATACAAAATAGTAAACAATCACTTCTCAAACATCACGCCATTTTTTATGCTTTTACAACTAATATTATTAAAATCCATCTTAAAATCAAATCCATAAATTGAAAGCAAATTAACATACAACCATTATTACAAAAACTGTGGTAATGATATTAAAAAAATGTTTTAAAAATGTTTTATTAATTTTATTATGGGCAGTTTCCAGAGATAAAGTAAAAAAGATAAAAAAAAAAACTCCCCACTCCGTGCTGAAAAAAAAATTGGAAACTCAATTATATTTTTCATACAAAAAGAAAAAGAAATAAAAACAATTAAATGACAACTGCTGTACGTGGTTTCACATTCTCCACTTCCCATAAAACCTGGGCAGCAACCACCACTCCTGCACCACCTCTCCTCCAGACCTGCAGTATAAATTGGGCAATTCCATATGCTTCCACACAATTATCACAACAATCAACTCCCAGCCTGCAAAGGAAGAACACAGAAAAATGTCAAGTGCATCAAGCGGAAGTGGTGGCCTCTGGTCATGTTTGAAAGCTTTGGATGACACCAAACAAGATTGGGCCATTTGCGTGAGAGCTGTTAGAGTTTACAGCGTTCCTACCCAGGACGGAAAAGAAAACACCATGGAAATTATTTTCCATGATTCAGAGGTATTTGTATACAACACATTAACTGAAAATTTTGTATAGGTTTATGTTAGAAAGTATAAGCATGTTCTTTTCTAATTTACAGGGTACCAGAATTCATGCCCAAGTTAAGAGAGCACAACTAGAAGATTTCAAACCCAAAATCAAAGAAGGAAAAGCTTGTGCACTCAAAAATTTTGTGGTTAACAAGAATGACCAACCCTACAAAACCACAGACCACCCATATACCTTGTGTTTTTATAGACACA